CGGCTAGATTTGGCACCAAAACCTCGAGTTTAAAAAGAAAGTATTCACCACTCTTTCTACAGTTCCTTTCTGTAAGGAATATTCACATTTTCAAAGCTGTATTAATCAATATTCCCTGTTGACAGCTGCTATTTATGCTAAATGTAACAATATAATCAGCAATCTTAGCCGCTCTTCCTTTTTTTTCCTGGTAGGTGCACAGCACCAAACAGCAGACTAACCAAGAAACATGTGAATATAAATTAGGATTTAAAGTGCCCGTGGATGCTGGATGTCTAAATAGAAAGATGTTCAGCATAACAATTTGATCTTCCATTGTTCGGTGGGACAGATGTGAGTGACAGTCTCTGTTTAACATGTGTGGCTGACGAGTAGAAAGTAAAGTTGAGAGTATTCTCTCCTGCTGTGTTGGTGTTGATTAAAGAAGATGATTTGAAGAGAAACTGTAGCCCACTTAACACCCACAGCTCAGAGACTCTGAATAACACTACAAACAAAGGAATCAGGGTTATGCCAATAGATAAACTTAAAAGTAAAGTAGCCACACATGTTTATATTATTCAGTACTGATCAGAGTCAAGAAGACATGTTAAATTATGAGGCACTATTTAATTTCTTTGCTTCTATTTTTAAAGGTGTGTATTCTGTATGTGTGTGTGTATAGTACTGTACTGTAAGTGGTGATATTTGCTTTCAGATTATTGGTAATTTGTGGATCGTTAAGATGAAATATCTGTTGAAGAAATTAATTACTGTTGAAGTAAAGCAGTGACATAAGCGCTCGTTCTCCGGTGTCTCATTTTCAGTCAGCCTGTGTCTCTCCAGTAGCATTTGTTTGGAGTTGAAGATCTCACGTTGGGTTTTTACAGGGAGGGTTGGTGGCGGCGTGATTTCCCAACAGCTTGACTCGTGGTTCTGACTCATTAGCTTCCTGCACTGCCACAATGAGCCTCATCAATCGTAACCCCCAGCGCAAAAGAGCTGCTTTCTCTCTACCTGGCCTTTATGGTTCTCTTTGCTCAGTAACACAACCAGGAAGCTGTGCGGCTTTTCTAGGACGTAAATGCATAAAGGGATATAAATAACTCAGAAAGGAGTTTTTAATATAAATACAGTCAGAGATAGAGTGATGTACAGTGCTCAACAAATCAATCAGACCATGTCCCAGTGTTAGGGTTTTGTCACAGATGTGATAAATTAACAGTGTTGATAATAATCAAAATCATTGTTAAGAAAAAAGCTGAAAAAGAAAATCACATTATTTTTTCATTTTTTATTAAGATATCAAATTACATTTCATGCCACCAGAATAGATGCAAATTTTACATTGAAATCTGAAATCTAAAAATGGAAACTTATGTCGTTTTTATGATTATATAAAAAAGACATAAAAAGCTCCACTGAAAGCTAAAATACCAACATTAAAAAAGCCTTTAACAACCTTAAATAAAGAGATTTGTTTGCACTGACTGACCTTTTTTGTTTACAGTGGGGGGTGGGGGGTTCTTCAGTTTCTTTTCGATGCCACTGCTTTTCAATTTAAAAAGGTCTTTTTTACACTTATGCATTTTTCCACTAGAAGCTTCAGATGACAGGACAGCGGGACTTCCTGTCATTGTCCCAGGCCTTTTCCATTGGAATAATTTTACTGCACCAATGAAAACACTAGGCTACCCCCAGCTTCTGGGTCATAGGGGGAGTGCATCGCAAGAACGTCAGCTAGCTAATGCAACCTAGCTAATGCAACCTAGCTAACATTTCCTCCCGGCTCTCTAGCTAGTTAAGAGTGAAGCAAGGGACAAGAGGAAAGGACAAAAAATCTTTACATGCTGTTTAGGAGTTTACGACGCTGTTTAGTTGGATCTGAACTTGAAACATTGTTGTTGAGTTGTTGAGTTAAGATGGCCGCTAGTAGGTAGTACCTGTGAAGCCCCCGCCTCTCGGTCTCAACTATTAGCCCTTCCTACTGAAACTGGAAAGAAACTGTAAAAATGTCTATCAATCATGCGGTTTTCACCAAAGGGGAAATTAGTTATAGAGACAAGTGTCTTAGTAACAGGCTGCAAACATGGATATTTCTGCTGTTAATTTGTTCCTTTTAACCGAGGAGTCTGTGGGGATTACCTCGCTTGTGGCTCTGGCCTCAAGTAGCCATTTGTGAAACTGCAGTTTTCAGCTCATGTGGTCAGGCTTCATTTTTCAGTGGCTGATGCTCCCGCTTAATTTCCACACATGAAGTCAGCTGAAATCCAACCAGAGATGAGAGCGAGCAGAGGAGGTGAGGAAGAGACACACAAAAATTAGACATCCCTGCCTCGCAGCGTTCATTTTAAAGCAAAGTCAATTAAATATGACGTTTGGC